GACGCTGGTGTCCACCCGTGGCATCAGATGGGCGTCTAATCTCTTGGCGATGACCGGCGATGAAGTGTTGGCGTCATTGATGGGTAGAGTAGGCAGCGATGGCTCCGAGCGGTTCCCAATCAATGGTGAGTCCACGCGCTGTCCCGTTGACGGCGGTTGAGGTGATGGCAGTTGCGCTCTCTTCGGATGTTTTGGCTGAGGTGTTGGCCGTCGCTGTCGGTCGCCATTAACGCCATCTTAAAAACCAATTCAAACAAAACATAAAAAACGATTAAATGAATGGACGGATTAATTGAAATGTGGTTAATGTCAGACCTAATAACTTGGTGACAATCCGGCGGTACTTCGGGTCAGCTTTCCTATCAAATATAGCGCAAAAGATATGTGACAAGTGGTTGACATCGATGTCGGGCGCGCCGATCAGCTGATGAACAAAAGACAATAGTTGTCCCTTTTTGTCGCTGTCATAGACCGTCCACTGGAACTCCTCTAAGATCCCTTTAAGCTCACATTCGGTGAAATAATGGAGCAATTGATGTAGTAATGGACGCGCGGTCCGGGCGGCGGGTTTGGTGGCCATCGGCGGCCGTTTCGGTTGCATTGAAATGTATTGTGTGATAAAGATTGGGGAAAATCGTTACAATTGTTTGTAATTACAGTTTAATGAATGTTAATGTTTTGAAATGGAATAAACAAAATCGAATTACATCTCGCGCTATAATTAGTTTAAATAAATTATAATAATTTAAAGTTTGACATAAACTATAATATTTGTTAAAATGTATTCAAATATGTTAAACAATGTGTTATGTGATAATGAAGTTATAGTGTATTTATATTAAAGTTTAGTTATCTATTTATAGTGTATTTATAGTTAATTAATAATTATAACAAAATTAAGTCAATTGTTATGAAATAGTGACAAACTTTTCATATAAAACATTGCAATCATTGTCGCCGTCATCGCTATTAGAGGTGTTGTCGTCGACCACATCAACCACCGAGTCGTCCATCAATTGTATCACTTGTCCGTCAAAACGGCCGCCGATTACATAAGTGCCGTCACTCTTCACTCGGATAGTGGTTACAAAATCGGGAGTTTTGTTTAAAACTTCCTGAAAATAAGTGTCCACTCTTAGGGCGGATGTAACGGCTGATGCCTGACATGTGGGACACAACCACTCCGATCGCCATTCGTTGGCCGCGAAAAATGACTGGCCGTCGAAGCACTCAATGTGTTGACAGTCGACTGTCCGGCACGGGATCCGCAATCGGCGTTGACTTATCTGAAAGACAACAGAAAAGTAGTCAAAAAATATTTTTAACGTTCAAAATATCATAACATAAATACCGGACACATGAGTGACACTTGTATTGAGTCCTCCAATAGACTGATCCCGTCGTCACCCGAATTGTGACCAAATTTGCGGCGAATCAATGCTTTGGTCGCATCGGCGGTCAACCGGTGCTGCGAATCGGCGGTCAATAATGTAATAAACGATTGGTCCGTCAGTTCCGTAACGATACTGATCTCAAAAAGAGTCGGCAAAAGGTATTCATTGTTCTTAGAGGACAGTAAGAACTGTATATCGTTGAGACCGAATCGACACCATTGACTCAAGTCGTACGGTCGGCACCACTGCTGGTCATCGGAATAGGTGTAAACACGAGTGCCGTTCAAATCAATACAAAGGGCTTCGGGTACGGAGTCTTTGGCCGACGGTTCTGCCGTATGACTGAACCGCAGCTGTATTTGCATCCGATTGTTGGCCAGAATTGTCGGCAAACTTCTGTCGAGAGTTAAGTATTTGTCGGGAAAGTCGTATTCATAAATGAAGAATGCCTTAAAGACTCGGCGATCGGAGATCGAGGGCAACACTTCCGTCTCGCGCAACCGCTTTACGATCGTATACTTCGGCAACGGTCTGAACGCATAGCCAGTGACCACTTCTTGGCCGCTGATGACCAGCGGAGGCAACACATGACTGTCCGATATATTGATGGTAACCGGCGGTGAAGTGTTGACGCTAACGATGGGTACAGTGGGCGGCGATATCTCCGTGTGGTTCGCAATGAGTGGTGGATTCACGCGCTCTCTCTTCTTCTTCTTCGGTGGCGGAGGTGTTGGCCGTCGCTGTCGGTCGCCGTTAACGCCGTCTTAATAACAGAAAATCGTTAAATGAATGAACGGATCAATAAAAATATGGTTAATGTTGTCATACCGTTGGCCACTGACCTCTTAGCCGTCCGGCGGTCCTTTCGGTTCGCTTTGCGCTTATCTATAGTTCGGATGACGTGTGACAAGTGTTTGACATCGATGTCGGGCGAGTGGATCAGCTGTTGGCACCGCGACAACAGTCCCGCCCTATTGTCCGCCGCGCTATACTTCCACCGGAACTCCGCTAAGACCTCTTTAAGCTCACGTTTTGTGAAGTCGTCGATCAGCTGATGAAGTCGTTGACACGTGTCGGCCGCGGCGGTCGTTGTGGTGGCGGTGGACCCGGCGGTAGTGGTAGTGGGCATCAGTGGCGGCGCCGGTGGTTGTGGTGGTAGTGGCGCCCCTGCGGTCAGATATGTTGACTGCCATAGTGTGCATGTCTTCAGTAGAGACGGCCACTTACCGAGGATTGGATCCATTGTCCGACGGGTTGTGTTCAATGGATCAGTTGTTTTGATTACAAGTTTTTTGTTTTGTTTTTGCGACAAAACGGTTGTCAATGCGAACGCCGTTCACAAACAACGTTACGTGAGTTTCAAACTAATTGTAATTGTTTTGGGAACTAATTGTGTATAACTTTAAATCAATTCAATTAATACTAATTTTTATGTAAATTCGTTACAAATGTTTAACATTTATTTAGATTATAGGTTTAAATAACAAAATTTACATCGTGCTCTATAATTAGGTTAATTAAATAATCACGAATCAACAATAAGTATATTGGTTAAACTAAACAAGGTTAATTATATAATAAATTTTATCACAGGATTTACAGTTAATTTATAACAATAGAAAATTTAATCAATTTATGTGATTGTAGTGTAATTTTAATACAAAATAACACAATCATTGTCTTCATTATTATCACTGCTGGCCATAAACTTCTTCGTCCGTCTCCGAGTCGTCCATCAATTGAATCTCTTTTCCGATTACGTAATTGCCGTCACTTTTCACGCGAATAGTAGTCACAGACTCTGATGTTTCGGCCAAAACGTCCTGAAAATAGGTGTCCACTCGAAGGGCTGATGTGTCGGCTGAGGCCTGACATATGGGACATAACCACTCAAAACGCCACTCATTCACAGCAAATAATGACTGGCCGTCAAAGCACTCGATGTGCTGACACGTGACTGTCCGGCACGGGATCCGCAATCGGCGTTGACTGACCTGAAAGACAACAGAAAAGCAGTTAAAAAACACTTTAATACTTAAAAACATCGGGACATAAATACCGGACACATGAGTGACACTTCTATCCAGTCATCCAATAGACTGATCCCGTCGTCACTGGAATTGTGACCAAATTTGCGACGAATCAACGTTTTGGTCGCATCGGCGGTCAACCGGTGCCGCAAAGTCGTCAATAACTCAGTAAATGATTGGTCAGTCAGTTCTGTAACGATTGTTATGTCGAAAAGAGTCGGCAAAAGGTATTCATAGTTCTTGGAGGACAGGAAGAACTGGATGTCGTTGCGACCCAATCGACACCATTGACTCACGTCGTGCGGTCGACACCACTGCTCGTCATCGGAATAGGTGTAAACACGAGTGCCGTTCAAATCAATACACAGGAATTCTGGTACTGAGTCTTTGGCCGCCGGTTCGGCCGTATGACTGAACCGCAACTGTATTTGCATCCGATTTTTGGTCAAAATTGTGGCCAAATTTCTGTCGAGAGAAAAGTATTTGTCGGGAAAGTCGTTCTCATTGATGAAAAATGTCTTTAAGACTCGGCGATCGGAGATCGAGGGCAACACTTCCGTCTCGAGCAACCGCTTTACGATCGTATACTTCGGCAACGGTCTGAACGAATAGGCGGTGACCACTTCTTGGCCGCTGGTGTCCAGCGGTGGCGACAAATTAGTGGCCGATATATTGATGGTTACCGGCGGTGAAGTGTTGACGCTATTAATAGGTACAGTGGGCGGCAATATCTGCGTGCGGTTCGCAATGAGTGGTGAATTCACGCGCTGTTTCTTCTTCGGTGGCGGAGGTGTTGGCCGTCGCTGTCGGTCGCCGTTAACGCCATCTTAAACACCAATTCAAACGAAACACAAATACAGTTAAATGAATACAAAGATCAATGAAACTATGGTTAATGTTGTCATACCGTTGGCCACTGACCTCTTGGCCGTCCGCTTCTCGGCGGCGGTCGTTGTGGTTGTTGTGGCGGACCCGGCAGTAGTGGTGGTGGCCATCGGTGACGGCGCCGGTGGTAGCGGTATTGCCGCCCCTGCGCTCAGAAGTGGGAACTGCCATAACGTGCTTGTATTCAGTACGGATGGCCAATCAAAGCCGAAGACTGGATCCATTGGCCAATGGGTTTGGTGTCCAACGGATCCGTTGTTTTGTTTCAAATGTTTTTTGCTTTGTTTTTGCGACAAAACGGTTGTCAATGCGAACGCCGTTCACAAACAACGTTACGTGAGTTTTAAACTATTGATTGTTTTTGTGTAAAACTTTAAATCAATTCAATTAATACTGATTTTATATAAATTCGTTACAAATGTTTAACATTTATTTAAAGTTTAGATTTAAATAACAATAATTACATGATGCTCTATAATTAATTTAATTAAATAATAACAAATCAACAATAATTATAATTAAACTTAACTAAACAAGGTTAATTGTATAATACATTTAATCACAGGATTTACAGTTAATTTATATCAATAGAAAATTTACTCAATTTATGTGATTGTAGTGTATTTTTCATGAAAAATAACACAATCTTACAATTGTTAGTTGTACAATTGTACAATTGTAACTTATCTTGTTAGTCTTCATTATCATCACTGCTGGCCATCACTTCTTCATCCGTCTCCGAGTCGTCCATCAATTGAATTACTTGTCCGTCAAAACGGCCGCCGATTACATAACTGCCGCCATTTTTTACGCGAATAGTGGTCACAGACTCCGGTGTTTTGGCCAAAACTTTCTGAAAATAAGTGTCCACTCGAAGGGCGGATGTGTCGGCCAATGCCTGACATATGGGGCACAACCACTCCGACCGCCATTCGTTGGCCGCGAAAAATGACTGGCCGTCGAAGCACTCGATGTGCTGACACGTGACTGTCCGGCACGGGATTCGCAATCGGCGTTGACTTAACTGTCAAACAAACAAAAAGCAATTAAAATCATTTGAAGCGCTAAAAACATCGGCGAATAAATACCGGACACATGAGTGAAACTCGTATTGAGTCATCCAATAGACTGATCCCGTCGTCACCGGCGTTGTGGCCAACTCTGCGGCTAATCAACACATTGGTCGCATTGGTTGTCAACCAGTTCTTCGAATCAATGGTCAATAATGAACTGAACAATTGGGCCGTCAATACCTTAACGATACTAACTTCGAAAAGTGTCGGTAAAACATATTCACTGTTTTTAGTGGAGAGTGAGAACTGGATGTCGTTACGACCCAACCGACAGTATCGGCTCACGTTGAACGGCCGGCACCACTGCTTGTTATCGGTGTAGGTGTAGACGAGGGCGTCGTTCACGTGAATACACAGGGCTTCGGGTACAGAGTCTTTGGCCGCCGGTTCGGCCGTATGACTGAACCGCAGCTGAATTCCCATCTGATTTTTGTACAACATTTTGACCAAATTTATGTCCGCAGGAAAATATTCAAAGAGTAGAAATGTCTTTCGGACGCCGCGATCGGAGATCGAGGGCAACACTTCCGTCTCGAGCAACCGCTTTACGATCGTATACTTCGGGAACGGTCTGAACGCATAGGCGGTGACCACTTCTTGGTCGCTGGTGTCCGCGAGTGGCGACAAATCTGTGTGCGACGCATCGGTGGTGACCAAAGGCGGTGTCTCGATGGCGTAATTGAAGAGTACATTTGGGGGCGATATCTCCGAGCGATTTCCAATCGGTGGTGATATCAAGCGTTCTCTCTTCGGCGACGGCGGCCGCAGTGGTTGTCCGCCATTAACGCCATCTTAACCACCAATGAAAATAAAACAAAAATCTGTTAAATGAATGAACGGATCAATTGAAATGTCGTTAATGTTGTCATACCATTGTTGGCCGACTTCTTGGCCATCCGACGGTCTTTGCGGTGAGCTTTGCGTTTATGAATAGATTGTATCACACGATACACATGATAGACATCGGTGTCGGACGAGTCGATCAGCTGTTGTACGCGCGATAACAGTGGCCGCCAAATGTCGCTCCCGGTGTACGTCCACTGGAACTCCCCTAAGACTTGTTTTAACTCACGTTTGGTAAAGCGAGTGATCAGTTGGTGTAATGTCCCCAGATTTGGGTACATATAAAATGACTTATCCCTCAGCATCGCTGCCCACTTGCCTAAGCCTGGATCCGATGCCATTGTGTCCAACACCGGGTTTGATGTCCGCCGCAAATGTTGTTTCAAACTAAGCGAGTCGTCTATCAATTCAATCATTTGTCCGTCAAAACGGCCATCGATTATATAAAGGCCGCCATTTGTCACGCGAATAGTGGTCAAAGACTTCGGTGTTTCGGCCAAAACGTTCTGAAAATAAGTGTCCACTCGAAGGGCGGACGTGTCGGCCGAAGCGTGACATATAGGACACAACCACTCCGACCGCCATTCGTTGGCCGCGAAAAATGATTGGCCGTCGAAGCACTCGATGTGCTGACACTTCACTGTCCGGCACGGGATTCGCAGTCGGCGTTGACTTAACTGTCAAACAAACAAAAAGCAGTTAAAATCATTTGAAGCTCTAAAAACTTGGGCCAATAAATACCGGACACATGAGTGAAACCTGTATGGAGTCATCCAATAGATTGAACCCGTCGTCATCCCAATTGTGGCCAAATTTTCGGCCAATCAACGCTTTAGTCTCGTCGGCGGTCAAGCGATGCCCGGAATCGGCGGTCAAATATTCGACAAACAATTGGTCCGTCAATTCCTTAACAATACTAACTTCGAAAAGTGTGGGCAAAATGTATTCACTGTTTTTAGAGGAGAGACTGAACCACATGTCGTTAAAACCCAGTCGACAGTATTGGCTCACGTCGAACGGCCGACACCACTGCTGGTCATCGGAATAGGTGTAGACGAGGGCGCCGTTCACCACAATACAAAGCGCTTCGGGAACGGAGTCTTTGGCCGCCGGTTCGGCCGTATGACTGAACCGCAGCAGTATTTGCATCCCATTTTTGGCCAAAATTTTCTGCAAATTTCTGTCCGCCGGCCAATATATGCCCACAAAGTCTTTCTCAAAAAGTAGGAATGTCTTTCGGACGCCGCGATCAGAGATCGAGGGCAACACTTCCGTCTCGTGCAACCGCTTTACGATCGTATACTTCGGCAACGGTCTGAACGCATAGGCGGTGACCACTTCCTGGTCGCTGGTGTCCGCGGGTGGCGACAAATCTGTGTCCATCGTATCGTAAGGGAATGGCAAAGACCAGGAATCGATGTCGTGATTATTGTGTACAGTTGGGGGCGATATCTCCCAGCGATCATCAATCGGTGGTAAAATCACGCGTTGTCTCTTCGCCGACGGCGGCCGCAGTGGTTGTCCGCCATTAACGCCATCTGAAACACCAATGAAAATAAAACAAAAGTCTGTTAAATGAATGAACGGATCAATTGAAATGTGGTTAATATTGTCATACAATTGTTGGCCGACTTGTTGGCCATCCGGCGGCGGTCCTTGCGGTGAGCTTTGCGTTTATGAATAGATGGGATCACACGTGACAAGCGTTGGACATCGGCGTCGGGCGAGTCGATCAGCTGTTGGACGCGCGATAACAGTGTCCGCCAAATGTCGCTCTTATTGTACGTCCACTGGAACTCCTTTAAGACCTCTATTAACTCACTTTTGGTGAAGCGAGTGATCAGTCGATGTAATCTCTTCAGACGTAAGCGCTGACACCCCTCAGCGCTCAGCGTCGCTGCCCTCTTGTCTAAGCCTGGATCCGATGCCATTGTGTCCGCAACACCGGGTGTGATGTCCGCCGCAAATGTTGTGACAAACTTTGATTTATTGTATGTTTTGGTTGTATAGAAATGTACTGCAAATTTACGCCCCTCTGTTCATACATAACGTGATGTAAATGTAAGGTAAGTTTAATTTGCATTCATTTGATTGCAGTTAATATTGAATTAAATTTAAGTTTATTTAAATAAAATTTAATGCTCTGAAAATTAGTTACAAAAAATACATTATGCGACATGGTTATAATTAGTTTGCTTACATAATCATCAGTTTAAAATTATTTTAACATTGATTAAAATTGTGAAAATTACTAAATGTTAATTATATTATGAATTTATAGTACGTTTAGTGTATTCATTACAATTAATTTATATCTACAACAGATTTACTCAATTTATGTGATTGTAATGTATTTTTCATGAAAAATAACACAATCATTGTCTTCATTATTATCACTGCTGGCCATCACTTCTTCGTCCGTCTCCGAGTCGTCTAACAATTGAATCACTTGTCCGTCAAAACGGCCGCCGATTACGTAATTGCCGTCACTTGTGACGCGAATAGTGGTCATAAACTCCGGTGTTTTAACCAAAACGTTTTGAAAATAGGTGTCCACTCGAAGGGCGGACGTGTCGGCCGACGCGTGACATATGGGACACAACCACTCCGACCGCCATTCGTTGGCCGCGAAAAATGACTGGCCGTCGAAGCACTCGATGTGCTGACACGTGACTGTCCGGCACGGGATCCGCAATCGGCGTTGACTTAACTGTCAAACAAACAAAAAGCAGTTAAAATCATTTGAAGCGCTAAAAACTCCGGCCAATAAATACCGGACATTTGAGTGACACTTGTATCCAGTCATCCAAAAGGCTGATCCCGTCGTCACCAGAATTGTGGCCAAATTTTCGGCGAATCAACGCTTTAGTGTCGTCGGCGGTCAAGCGGTGCCCGGAATCGGCGGTCAAATATTCAACAAACGATTGGTCCGTCAGTTCCTTAACGATACTGACCTCAAAAAGTGTCGGCAAAAAGTATCCATTGTTTTTGGAGGACAGAGAGAACTGGATGTCATTCAGACCGAGTCGACAGTATTGGCTTACGTCGTACGGCCGACACCACTGCTGGCCATCAGATGAGTGAGTGTAGACGCGGGTGTCGTTCACGTCAATACACAAGCCTTCGGGTACGGAGTCTTTGGCCGCCGGTTCGGCCGTACGACTGAACCGCAGCTGAATTTGCATCCGATTTTTGATCAAAATTTTCGACAAATTCTTGTCCGCCAAGAAGTATGTGTCGGGAAAGTAGTCCTCATAGAGTGTGAATGACTTCCAGATCACGGCATCAGATATAGAGGTCAACACTCGCGGTCCGTATAACTGCCTTACGATCGTATACTTCGGTAAACGTCTGAACGCGCAGTCAGTGACCACTTCTTGGCTGCTATTGTCCGACAAATTCATGTCCGATGGACTGGCAATCGGCGGCTGACAGACATTGATGGGGACAGTGGGCGGCGAGTGGTCCATAGTGTGCGGTCTCTTATGCTGCGGTCCGCCGTCGTCGCCATTAGAGTGCACTAAAAAACCAATTCAAACAACGGGTTAAGTGAGTGGACGGACCAATTGATAAGGTTATGCGTTCACACCACTGGCCGATGACCTCTTGCCTGATGGCAATGGTTCACATTTGTCAGCCGCGGCGGTGATAGTAGTCGCCGGTGTCGGTGCTATTGTGTCCGTCACTGGCTGTTCATTTGCAGCGGTGTGACTGTCCGTACTGTTAGAACCGCTGGCCATTGGCCTCCACTGCGCCCGAAGACTGGATCCGATGGTATTGTCCGTCGGGTTTGTTGTCAAAGACTATGTGTTTTCAATTAAAACTTTTAATTATAACTGTTTTTTATGAATGACTCAAACTTTGCGACGCAAAGCGTTGTCAAAGTGAGCCAACCGTTCGCATACAACGTTACGCACAAATAATTTGTAATTGTTTTGGTTGTATAGAAATGTATTGCAAATATACGCCCCCACTGTTCATAGATAACGTGACGTGAATGTAAGGTTAGTTTAATTTGCATTCATTTAATTGCAGTTAATATTTAATTTAATTGAAGTTTATTTAAATGAAATTCTAAAAATTAGTAGCAAAAAATATATTGTTCACAATAATTATTTATTAATAATTAGTTTGCATAAATAATCACCAGTTTACAATAATTTTATTATTGGTTAGAATTGTGAAAATTACTAAACATTTGTTAATTATATCATTAATTTATAATGTATTTACGGTTAATTTATATCAATAGAAAATTTACTCAATTTATGTGATTGTAATATATTTTTCATGCAAAACAATACAATCGTTGTCATCACTATCACCACTGCCGGCCATTATATCGTTGTTCAACAATTGTATCACTTGTCCGTCAAAACGGCCGCCGATTACGTAATTGCCATCACTTTTCACGCGAATAGTGGTCACAGACTCTGGGGTTTCGGTCAAAACAGTCTCAAAATAGGTGTCCACTCGGATGTCGGACGTGTCGGCCGGCGACTGACATATGGGGCACAACCACTCCGACCGCCATTCGTTGACCGCAAATAATGACTGACCATCGAAGCACTCGATGTGCTGACACGTGACTGCCCGGCACGGGATCCGCAATCGGCGTTGACTTACCTTTAAAACAAAAAAATCAGTTAAAAAACATTTTAAACATAACACCCTTTTTCCCATAAATACCGGACAAATGAGTGACACTTGTATTGAGTCCTCTAATACACAGATCCCGTCATCACCTGAATTGTGGCCACATTTTCGGCCAATCAACGCTTTAGTCTCATCGGCGGTCAACCGGTGCCCGGAATCGGCGGTCAAATATTCGACAAACGATTGGTCCGTCAGTTCCGTAACGATA